CTTCTGTGATGAAGCACCAGCCCCACAGCTCCAGGAGTAGGTCTTCCCGGGACCAGTCCAGAGGTCACCAGGATCGCTCCATGGCATCTGTTGCCAGAGGGGCAGATCGCCTTCTCCCTCCACCGCTAGTGAGGCTTCGGAATTAGAGGAGGGAGAATTGAAGGAGGTAGGGTTTTCTGAAGACGAGGATGCTCAGGCACCTGAGGCCCCCAACATCACTGGTCTTTTTCCCCCTCCTTGTTTAGCTCCTTACTTCATAAGGCCAGGGCCACAGCAGACCTGGTCCACTCCCCCAGATCCCAGGCCTGCGACTGCCACATCTAGCACTAGCAGGGGTAACAAAAAGGGGGCCTTCCATAGACCTCCGGTGGAGAAAGAGGAGATTCCTACTCCAGATATGTTTCTAGAGGTGCTTAAATCCCAGTGGGTTAAGCCAGGTTCATTTCCCAATCCGGGGCGCAATGAGCGGAGGTTCTATAATCTTAATTCTACCTTTGCCCAAGCTCTCCAGGTTCCCGAAGTGCAGTTAGACTTATATACCCGCTTCATAGGGCTTTCAGCCCTCTCTAAGCGGTTTACAGAGTCAGCACATTGCCCCCACAGTCTGGGTCCTCATTTCACCCACCTCGGAAGGATGGAAGGCTGAGTCAACCTTGAGCCGGTGAGATTAGAACCGCTGAACTGCAGATAACAGTCAACTGAAGTGGCCTGCAGTACTGCACTCTAACCACTGCGCCACCTTGGCAATCTGGTTGCCATTTTAGCTTCACCATCAGCTGTGGTCACTGGAGACATCGCCAACTGCCTTAAGGCGGAAGATAAGAAAGCGGACATCGTGTTGCATAAGTCATTCCAAGCAATAACCTGGGCCATTATGGCAGTTGCTTCTGCATCCTTTTTCAATAGGTCTACAGTGCTGTGGCTGGAACAGCTGAGGGACAGGATTCCGGCCACAGAGGTATGCCTGCTGCAAGACATCTCTAAGGTGCTGGCAGCCACAGAGTTCTCAGCAGATGCCACCCTGCATGCAGTTAAGTATGCTTCTCGAGCATTGTCATCCTCGGTGGTGTCTAGGTGCCTGCTGTGGTTGTGCCACTGGCAGGCGGAGTTCCGGGCTAAATGGCACCTAGTAGGAGCAGACTACACCAGGGACAAGCTTTTTGGGACTGCGCTGGACCCTATCCTGGACAAGAATAAGTGGCTATGACCAGAAGGCCAGATCACCGGCATGCTCTGTACCCCAGGAGAACTTCTTACCCCCCGCCTGAATCGGACGCCCAGAACCAGAGGTACCAGAACCCCAGGTTCCATAGACAGGGGGATAGGCAGTTTCCTAGAGACAGGTTCAGGGGCAGCAGCAAGGCAAGCGGCCCTTTCGAGGAGGAGGTGGTCGCCCATTCTGCAGGTTCAAGTGATCCGTTTGTGGATCACCCCATTGGAGGTCGCCTCTCCCTTTTTGCGGATGCCTGGGAGCACGTCACTTTGGACGAGTGGGTCCTCTAGACTGTTAACCTCGGGTTACAGCTGGAGTTCCACTCACAACCCCCCAATAGGTTCCATACCTTCGCCCCCTCCACTGATCCGACCAAACGGGCTCTTAAGGCAAAGGCCATCAAACACCTATTAGATATCAAGGCCATTGAGAGGGTCCCAGAGGGGGAGAAAGGTGCCGGATTCTACTCGAACCTGTTTTCGGTGCCCAAGAGTTCAGGGGGGTGGAGAGACATCCTGGATCTTAAACTGCTCAATTTCAGGGTGGTCTACCGCAGATGCAAGATGGCCTCTCTGAAATCCATCTTAGAAGGCATCCGACAGGCGATTTCTTGGCCTCCATCGGGCTCACGGAGGCCTACCTTCACATCAGAATCGCCCCAGAACATCGTAGGTTCCTCAGATTCTCCCATGAGGGCAATATAGAGCCCTTCCCTTTGGGCTGGCTTCAGCCCCAGGACCTTTACCAAGGTGCTGGCCGCGGCCGCGGGGCACCTGCGAGCCTTTCCAGTCTGACTTTTCTGTTATTTGGATGACATCCTTGTCCTAGCCAGGTCCCCAGAGACTGCCAGGAAGTACCTGGGGCTCACCATCGACACTCTCAGGTCCATGGGATTCTCTATCAACCTAGAGAAGAGGCAGCTGGTCCCATCTACCCGGCTCCAGCACCTAGGATCCATTATAGATTCGGTGTCTGGGGAGGTTTTTCTGTCCCTGGACCGAAAGGACAGCATTGTGCAGCTCATCCATGAAATTCGCAAATTGCGCTCTATACCTGTAGTTCTTCTTTCCAGGCTCCTTGGGAAATTCATTTCTTGTATAGGGATTGTGCCTTGGGCCCACCTATAAGTCAGGGAGCTCCAGTGGTTCCTGCTTCCATACCAGAGAGCCAGAATGAGCGACGCCAACTTCAAGGTTCGAGTGTCACCCCAAGTGCTGCTCTCACTCCGTTGGTGGCTGACTCCAGCATTAGACAAAGGATCCCTCTTCAAGGAGCCAGCAAGGAAGGTATTCACTATGGACACGAGCCTTTCGGCTGGGGAGCACATCTGGAGGCCCAGATAACCCAGGGCCACTGGACTCCAACAGACTTGCGCAACAAGATAAACTGGTTGGAGCTCAGGGCCATCCATCTGGCCCTACATCACTTCAAGACCACGGTGACCGGTCACCACATCCTGGTCCTCACGGACAACGTGGCAGCCAAAGTCCACGGGAACAGGCAAGGGTGCACCCACTCCAAGGCCCTTCGCGATGAGGCCCTCTGATTGGGGAACTGGGCAGAGGCATCTGCAGTCCATCAGAGCGGAACACATCTCCGGGACAGAGAACCAGCAAGTGGATTGGCTCAGCAGGGAGATGATCGACAACGGAGAGTGGCAGCTCCATCCCAGCATCTTCCTGCAGATTTGCGAGAGGTCGGGTGCCCGACGGTGGACCTCTTTGCAACCCCAGCAAATGCTCAGCTGCTGAGATTTATATTGAGATTCCTGTCCAGGGGAGCCATGGACACGGACACCCTTCAATGTGGATGGCCACCAGATCTTCTCTATGCCTTTCTTCCCCTTCCCCTCGTTCTCAGGATTTTGAGGAAGTTAGTGTCAGAAGGAGCAGAAATGATTCTAGTGGCTCCCTTCTGGCCACGCTGTCCCTGGCTAGCAGACCTGGTGGAGTTGTCCTCAGCTCCCCACTGGAGGATTCCCCCGGGGGAGGTGTCCCTGCACCAGAGGTCTCTGGAGCATCTGGATCCAGAATGGCTCCATCTGACCGTCTGGCGATTGAGCGGGAACAGCTGAGAAGGGCACACTTTTCCACGAGGGTCATTAAGACCGTCGAGGTGTCCAGAAGGCAGTCCACCACTCATATCTACAACACTTCCTGGGTCGCTTTCGCGGACTGATGTCAAGCTAGGGACATTGTCCCAGCTTCGGCTTCTGTGCCCCAGGTTCTGGACTTCCTACAGGAAGGTCTGGAGAAAGGTCTGGCCCCCAGCACCCTTAGGAGACAAGTCTCTGCTCTTTCCACAGTCCTGGGGGGTGGTGGATGGACCACCCTTCTCCCAACATCTGGTCCTAAGGCAATTCCTTAAGGGAGTGGCAAATCTGAAACCTCCAGTGGTCCATCGATTCCCTACTTAGGACCTACCTATGGTCCTCTAGGCATTGACGGAGGCACTATTTGAACCCCTGAGGGAAGTTTCCTTACAATTCCTGATCCTTAAGGTCGTCTTCCTGGTTGCCATTATCTCAGCCAGGAGAGTATCTGAGATCAATGCTCTTTCCAGCAGAGCTGACCTCTGCACCTTTCTAGAGAACCGGGTCATCCTCAGACTAGACCCTGCATTCATGCCCAAGGTCAATTCTCCCTTCCACAGGGCCTTAGAGATAGTTCTGCCGGACTTCTGTCCACAGCCCTCCAGGGATAGGGTAAGATCTTGGCACAGGTTGGACATCAGAAGACCCTTGCGCATCTATCTAAAGCACACGGTGCCATTTAGGCATTCAGAAGCCCTCTTTGTATCCTTTCAGCCGTCCACCTGGGGAGCCAAGGTTTCCCTGGCCACCATTAGCAGGTGGATCAGAGCAGCCATCTCACAGGCCTATGAGGCCACCCAGGCTCCCATAGAGGAGATCTGCCGGGCTGCCGCCTGGTCTTTTCCCTCACATTTCATTAGGCAATGCCGGCTAGATGCTTACGCCTCCATGGAAGCAGCCTTTGGTAGGAGAGTTCTGCAGGGAGTCCTAGACTCTCAAGGGACTCAGGCCCATTGATCCGTCTCTAGGACATCTTGCTTTGGTATGTCCCGTGTGTTACTCCTCCCACGCCTCACTTCGGAAACTGGCAGTTGGTCTTATCTGAACTGCATGTTTAGAAGAAGGCGTGGGAGGAGTCACTTCTCCTCATTTTTAGGGCGCACTGCACCAGGGGCCTGAGTTAGTTCAGTGGTCAGGCAGGGCCAGGCAGGATGTGTGCTTGTGTTGTCTCTGTCCCTTCCTTCCGGGTGCTCTGCTACGAACCATCGGTTAATCTGGGAGGTCAGAAGGAGGAACGGAGGTGTGGCCTTAAGATTTACCTCAGTCTCCAGGGCAAAAGGGCTGGGTTAATACCCATGTGTTACTCCTCCCACGCCTTCTTCTAAACATGCAGTTCAGGTAAGACCAACTGCCATTCTATCAAATGGGAATTTTCTCTAATAATATAATATTTCATTTCAAGGTGTAAAAATTAGAAACAGAAAAAATATCAAGTCATCATGCTTAATGATGTGATGATTTGCTTAATGGCCACAATCAAAAACTGATCACTGGCGTAGTTAAGTCAGGAGTGATCATGTGATGTTGCAATTGCAACATTTAGTGATAGAGTAACTGGCTCCAACTGTGGGTAATAAGTGAGGACTACTTGTAATATAAACATAATGTAAAAATGATGAGTGTGCCTGAATCAAAATGTTAGATTGGACACATAAAAGGAATATTTGTATTAATTCATTATTTTCCTTTCAAAAGTTGCATTTGTACACCAGAAACATACGGACAGTACTGCACAACAAAATTTGATGATTGTCAAGGAAGATCTTCTCTTCTCTGTGGGCATGGGGTTTGTGTGGATGGAAACAGAGAACAGCTCCACCAGGTAAGCAAGAGAAGTATCAAGAGTAGATACCTGCCAGCAATACTTTATTAGGGATTTGTGCAGTATGTGAATTGTACTCAATTGCTGAAATACTTTTTTTCCCAAAACTTTGAAATACACAGCAGTGCAGTTGGTGTACATCCAATTTCCTGGATGTAAGTCTCATTTTTTTTTTTCAAATGCCCTTTCAGTTCTATTGAAGATTCCATTAGCTGTGGAAGTTAATCAAAATTAATCTTAGCTAGCTTGGGAATAATAAAATTCAATTTATATTTATTTAGTTAAACATTTAGCAGCAACATTTTCTTGGAATACTGTGCTCGGCATCCTTCATCAACCTAAGAAAAAGTGGAAGTGGAAGAAGGAATCTTCAGTGAAGAAGATCACCATTGGCAGAAGGTATCTCTGCCTGATTGTCGAGGATCTCTGTCTTCCATCACCATGAGGATGGATATGTGTTATCACACTCCACCTTATTCCAAAATTCCCCTGATTTTCTTATTAGCGTTTGGGGAATGTTATGGAGACTGCTGGAGGAAAGAGGGGACAGGAAATTTTGCTTTCAGAAATTGTCTTCTGTAGGCTACCATCCTGCTGTATGAAGAATTCCACAGTTGTCACTATATTTTAGCAATGTTTTATATGTATATTTTCTTATTAATTCAACATTTCCCATTTTTTAATTGCTACAAAATGAACAGCATCCATACTTTGTTTAAAAGATACGTCTCCAAAATGCTTTGATCTCTTTACAGCAATATCTTACTTGTCTTTGTAATAACTATAGTTGCCATTTTGTAACAGAGGTGATTTCAAAGAATATCACCATATTATTTGCTGTGTAGTAGAATCTAGACTTTGTCTTCATGATTTTACTTATGTTTGGATTAGGAACCCATTTGATAGCCTGAAAGTCTGTGAATGAGCAACTTTTATTTACCTGCTTCTTTAGATTATAATTACATAGTTTGCCAAAAATAAATCAGCTAATGTTCAGATTGGTGTGTTTCTTACTGCAGGTTTGAGATGTATTTGTTGTTCTACCTCTGTTTAGGTTCATTTCGTGATTACCCATTATTTTCTACCTTTTACAGGGAAAATTATGGGTTTTCTTTTTCTGACATGATAACAATCTTTCACTGCGAGTAAGCATTAAGCTTTAATTGTTGGAGGGAGGAATAGAAAACCTGAGGAAATAAGATAAACTGAAATTGCATCAACAATTTTGACATGTCAGAGTCCAGAAGAATGGCTTGGTAAATGTAACTCTTTTGGGAACATTCATAGTTATTTTCATGTTTACCTTATTTTAACCTGGCAGCCAAATTATACTTGCATCTGTGATGATGGCTGGATGTCGCCTCCAGGGAGCCTTGCTTGCATTGCTGACATTGATGAATGCAGCTTCCCGAACCCACCTTGTTCAGTGAATCCTCCTGTACGGTGTATCAACATGCCAGGCTTTTATTTCTGCGGTTCTTGTCCAGCAGGTAAGCAGTATTTCATAAATGTCCTCTCATTTGTTTCCCATGGGGATTAACATTGGCATTACAAGGAGTTTCATGGAGCCATCGTCTTCCTACCCTTTTTTCTGAGATGCTGTTTTCAAACTTTATATTGCTTTATTTGGGGTATTTTACTATTAAAAATAGTAGCTCTCTATATGAGAATCATAGAGACACAGTGGCACTCAGTGGCTAAGACGCTGAGCTTGTTCATCAGAAAGGTTGGTAGTTCAGTGGTTCGAATCCCTAGTACCGTGTAATGGAGTGAGCTCCCGTTACTTGTCCCAACTTCTGCCAACCTAGCAGTTTGAAAGCATGTAAAAATGCAAGTAGAAAAATAGGGGCCACCTTTGGTGGGAAGGTAACAGCACTTTGTGCGACTTCAGCATTTAGTCATTCTGGCCACATGACCACGGAGATATCTTTGGACAGCACTGGCTCTTCAGCTTTGCAATGGAGATGAAACACCACCTCTCAGAATCGGGAATGACCAGCATATATGTGCAAGGGGATCCTTTACCTTTACCTATCTGAGAATCGGAGTGGTCTTGAGGAGGAATAACTCCTGTTTGGCCGTATTCAAACATAAGACTAACCTACCATTTTTTAAAATGTGATTTGATAGCTGGGAGGGAATGGAGTAGAACTCCCAAACTACTAATTAATTTGAAACAGGCCATGAAAGTTGTTCATCTTTCTCAATTGTGTCTTAACACATTGGAATATTTTTTTATTGTAATCACTGTCCACCAGATAAAAACAAGTATATATTAGTTAATTAGGTTCACCTTATATTAGTGTGTATGTGTGGGCTTTTATATATCTATCCATCCTTCCTGTACAAATCTAAACAAATGTACTCTTTTTAATTTCCTTGGTTATGTCTCCATATATGTAATTACTCACACAAATGACTGTATTTATATGACACAAAAATAAATAGTCCACTGCATTTCCATATTGATTATTAGAGGAATAATATTTCTGAATCTAGCTCTGAAAACATGGTGTTATACCTCTTTCATTTGGCCTGCTTGGTTATCTGAATAGATTGTATCCATTCATCAACATGAAATTTTTTCATCCATAAAGTGAATTGTTACAGTAAATACAAAAATTATATTTAATAAATTGAAAGGCACAATACTTTTTGAATTGGTAGTCTTATATAAACTATTGCTCTAGTTGGTACATGTAGCAAAAGCCTTGAACAGAAATATTAGCTCATAACAAAATGTAACTTTACACAAGATGTTAGCATGGTCATTATCAGAAGTTGGAATTACCAGGCATTTGCGGAAGTCCAGATTTCAATAGCAGAAAAAATGATTAATTATCAGGACTCACTAGCTTGTTACTGTTCTTCTATCCATCGCGAACTCAATCATTTTAGCTAGAAGAAGACTGTCAGTCAATAATACTGTATGAAACAAGGGAAACAGCGGCATTGCCTGTTTTTTCTTAGGAAAAGACCTAAATGGGGAAAAGATTGACCATTGAAGAAGGGGAAAAGGGTTGTTGAGAACATCTTGTTCAACAGACCTTAGCCAACTCGCTGCCTTCTATACTTAACAATCAAAATAGTGTAAGAATAATACAGACAAACTCTGTTTAGAGAAATGTCCAGGAGAAAATAACCATAGATTTCATATACCTTATAAAAAGAGAATAAAGAACAAGAATTCTTAGCTTTGAGAAGAGAAAGCTGAAGGAGAGTTAGGGCTCTTCAAATACCTTGGAGGAAGTCACAGAGAAGAAATCCAAAGCTTATTCTTGCATCATTTGATCATTTGCATCTTCCAAGGCAGAAAATAATGGATTTTATGGGTTAAAAGAAAGTAGATCGTGACTGACTTTTAAAATAATAAATAAATGAATAAATTAGCATCATTTTGTATGGAGGTGAAAATTACATTCCTTTTTAAAGAATTTCCTTCCATAAGAGCTGAAGGGGTACATATTACTATAGTTTAATCCAGTGGTAAAATTCAATTTTTTAAAACTTCCGGTTCTATGGGCGTGGCTTGGTGGGGAAGGATACTGCAAAATCTCCATTCCCACTCCACTCCAGGGAAGGATATTGCAAAATATTCATTCCTACCCCACTCTGGAGCCAGCCAGAGATACTATTTGCCGATTCTCCAAGCTACTCAAAATTTCAGCCACTGTTTCTCCAGAATTTGTCAGAACCTACTGAACTTCACAACTGTTTTAATCCATAGTTGAAGATTACCAAATTATTTGCATGTTCTGTTTATGGAACAGTTCATCAAGCCATGTTCATCATGGATATCACCATACTGTTCCTTTTTAATGCATTTTGTGTTAGTATAATAACTAGTATTTTGACAAAGACACAAAGATGTCTTGAATCAATGGAGTGCAGTATCTAATATAGTCAAAGTCATAAGATTTGATTCTGCTGACCACATTTCCTCCTGATTTATATACTTTGCAAAATAATTAAATGGCTTGTACTGATGTCAGGGGGATCTAAGCCTCTTCCTAAAATGTAGAAATCTGTGAAACAATTTGCCTTTGGCAAAGAGTTCCCTCAACACTGTTGTCTTAAAAAAGTATTTATTTGTACTTCACCATTCCATCCCATCACTACTCACTAAGTTTACTGTTTTCTTTAAATCAGGCTATGAAGGTGATGGGAAAGTATGCACACTGGTTAATATATGCTCAGTCGACAATGGAGGCTGCCATCCACTTGCTGTATGTAACATCACATCAGGTAATATTGAAAACAACAACACTATGTTTGTATAAAGGCTATATCTAGCCAGAAAAAAATACACTTTTCTTAGTTAAAATAGTGTTTCTCAACATGAATAATTTGAAGATGTGTAGACTTCCAATATCCCAAATTTTCCCCAATATTTTGGCTGGGAAATTTGGGATTGGAACCCACGTATCCTAAATATGATTGAGGTTGATAAAAACTGATCTTCAAGACAAGATAGTACCAAATTTCTGTTCTGTATACCCAAGCTGGTTGTTAAACCTTAACTTCCGGAGTACTGAACTGGTTCATCTGATAAAGCTGATAAAGTGCACAGGCAGGCCACATAATTGGCACAACTGTATCCTTCAGGTGGGCCCTGACACAAATGAAATGAGAACCAATCCTCAGGGCTGATCTTGGAAGAGCACTCAATGGAAAGAGAAGATTATGAAATTGAACTAGAATCCTGACAATCCTGCTTCAAAACTCAATTCAGCCAAAAAGACATATTAGGTGATTTGTTACCTTCCGTCTAAGTTGTTATGAAGGCTTGGGAAAGCAAAACAGGAAGAAAGAAAACCATGCTTATCCTTTAAGCTCCTTGGGCGGTAGACGGGACTTAAATGTGGCAAATCAAATGCAAATCCAAAAAGACATTGCTCAAAACTTGCAAGTGAAAAATGCTGGGAGGTTTTATTGTGTGTGTGTATAAGTATATGTACCTATATGTATGTGTGCTTTAACTTTTAATTTAATTTAATTTTAATCTCTTACTCCTCAATCTTAGCAACTTTAAAATGTTTGGACTTTGAATTCTAGTAGTTCAGGGATGTCAAACTCTATTTCATTGAAGACCGCATCATGGTTGTGCTTAATCTTGGTGGACAAGGATGGGCGTGGGCAGCGTGGACATGGCCAGCATGATGTCCCTTGTGTCAGGGGGGGCCATGGTGCCTGACCACTCTGCTAGTGAAAACGAGCTCTTGAGCTCTGTTTTCGGCTAAAATAGCCGCCTATAACCCTCTGCCAGCAAAAAAGGAACCCTCTGTCAATGAAAATGGCTGTGTGCGGCCTTCAAGAACTCTGTTTTCGCCGGCAGAGGCACCGCAGGCCAGTCCTTTGCTATTTCCAGGGTGGCCTCATGGGCTAGATCTAAGCACCCTGCGGACCAAATCCGCAGGGTGCTTAGAAGCTTTGTACACAGGGCTAGCCACAAACATTGTGCTATATGAAGAGGTGCAACATGTTGATGTCTTCAAACACCCACTCAAAAATTTATGGAACACAACTCAAATTTCTTTGGGAGAGTCTCCCAAATTTCAATAACACCTTCATTTGTCTTCTTTATATAAAAAAATACAGTAACAATATTGTTCAGTATCTGTCATGTAACCAGGTGGCACAATGGTTAGAATGCAGTATTGCAAGCTAATCCTTACAAGATTAGTAAAATTAGGATCCAGATAGTTGGGGGCAATATGCTGACTCTGTAAATTTTTACAGCACTTTTACAGGGTGCTGTAATGAAGTAGCATATAAGTTTAAATGCTATTGCTATAGTTTTCATAATGCTTCACATTAGCTACTGACTCTGGCTGGTCAGACATCTTCCTTTTTGGCATTTCCTATTACTTTCTTCTCTGTTCACAGCTCTGATCTCTTCATTTTCTGGCATTGATGCTGCTATAACATTTGGGTACTCTCAAATAATGAAAAAATGTGGTGTTATTAAAATAGCAGAAAATAAGGATCCCAAAGCAAATTCAGATTATTGTTTTGACTTCCTCCTTTTTTCTATTTAAAGGACCGGTACCTAATTGTGTTTGCCCAGATGGATACACTGGAAATGGTTATGGTTCAAATGGATGTTTTGCCCTATGCCAAACACACAATCCTTGTGTAAATGGACAATGTCTTGTATGTTTTTTTAAAAGTGAATTTATGAACATGAAGTATTAAATCTTTAGTGCTGTTGTTAAACTTTGATTATATAGACTTGTGCTTTCTCAGACCACATCTATCTTATCAATAGATATTCAAAATGCAATTGATCAATGTATTATTGTTATATGAATTATACTACATTATTATTATTTATTATTATTATTGCGTGGTTAATCTTTGGTGAGATTCACAGCCTTTGGAGCTGGTTGGTAGCTCAACAGCTTGAGTCCTAACCTTACTTACTAACGTTACTATTAAGATAACGTTGGAGGAGATAAGCTGTTCCGAGTAGGGTGGTTTTTTATAGAATCAGAATGTTCAAGTCTGATAAATTTAAATTTTCCAAATAGCGAGGTAGCCCTTTAGGTATTGTTCCAAGGCTCCAATTACAATCAGGACACCACACGATTTCTTTTTCCACAGTCACACAACTTCAATTTGCAAGTGCCAGTACTTTGTCATTTTTTCTTGCTGTTTATCTTCAATTCGTGAATCTCCAGGTATTGCAACGTCAATGAATCATACTTTTTTCATTTCAACTATTGTTATGTCAGGTGTGTGTGGGCCAAGTGCCTGTCAGTCTGAATTCTGAAGTCCCAAAAGATCTTGACTTTCTCATTCTCTAAAACCTTCAGAACCTGATGTTCTCAGTGGTTTTTGCCTGTACTCAAATCCAAATTTTTGGCACAATTTCCAGTGAATGATCTTAGCCACGCGGTCATGGCATTGTAGGTAGTCAGTTTGTGAAATTTTGCTGCACCCACTGATCAAGTGGTCGACTGTCTTGTCTTTCTCATTACAGAGGCGACATTTGCTGTTGGTGGTAACATGTTGAATTCTTGCCTTCATGCAGTTGGTGGCTAAGGCTTGTTCTTGAGCTGCCAAAATAAAGCCCTCTGTTTCTTTTTTCAGTGCTCCTGATCTTAACCAGTTCCAAGTTAGTTTTTGGTTAGCTTTGCCATCAATATTTTTCAAGTATTGGCTATGCATAGCTTTGTTTTTCCAATTTTCAGCTCACTTCTCAATTACTTCTTTCTTATATTCAGCTTTTGACTTAGTTGTCTTTAAAAGGCCTCCTTTATTTACTTCCTTAGTCATTGGTTTTTCACTTTTCTGGATATAATCATTCAAGCTGTATTTTTCTTCTTCAACAGTCTGTTTTACTTGTAGGAGTGCTTGGCCACCCTTTGCTCTTGGTAGATATAATCAGTCAACATCATTTTTAGGGTTCAAAGCATGATTCATTGTCATAAGTTTCCTTGTTTTTCTGTCCAAATTGTCCAGTCAGTTATTCCTGAAGAGTATCGGATCACAGGTATAGCACAGGTATTTATAGCTTTTATGATGTTTCCTCCATTCAATTTGGACGTTAATATCTTGCAAATTCATCAAATGTACTTGGCTGAAGTTAATTCCTTGACTTTATTATGCATTAAGTCAGAGGCCTCTAAAATCCCCAAGTACTTGTAGCCTTCTTCTAGTTTTACTGCCTTTATCATTTCTTCATTCTCAAGTTCTATTCCATCATCTTCTATGACCTTGCCTGCTTTGGTTGCCATTGTTGCACATTTGTCAATTCCAAACTGCATACCAATGTTTTGACTAAATTCTTTTGTGCTTTCAATTCAGTTCAGCTTTTGTTTTACCAACAGCTTCAAATCATCCATGTACACCAAGTGCGAGATTTTCAGTCCTTTCTTTGCAAGTTCGTACCCATAGTTCATCCTCTTCAGAATGATTGTCAGTGGTAGCATTGAGAGTATAAAAAGTAGGGGTGAAAGGGATTCGCCATGGAAAATGCCTCATTTAATTTCAACTTCACCCACTTCATTAGCTATAAGCTTCGTTTTCCAGAGGTTTATTGAAGTTTCCATGAATTTTTGTATATTGCTGCTGATGCCAAAGATTTTCAGGCATTTCTTGATCCAGCTAATGGGAACTGAATCAAATAATTTCATATAGTCTGTCCAAGCCATGAACAGGTTGGTTCGTCTTTTCTTTGAATTCTTTAGGATTAGCTTGTCAATTCGCAGTTGGTCCTTTGTTCCTCTTGAATTTTTGCAGCACCCTTTCTGTTCTATAGGAAGCAAGTTATTTCTTTCCAAGTATCCATTAATTTGGTTTGCAATGATACCAGTAAGGAGCTTGTATGTTGTTGGCAAACAGGTGATTGGCCTATAGTTTCCAGGATCCTTTCCTTTTTCTTTATCTTTTTGGATCAAAAATGTCCTTCCAGTTGTCATCCATTCATCATTTTCAGGTGTTTTAAAGATCTGGTTCATTTGTGCTGCCAATCTTTTGTACACACTTGTAAGTGCCTTTAACCAGAAGCCATGTAACTCATCTGGTCCAGGTATATTCCAGTTCTTCACTTTTCTTGACTGTCTTTGCACCATTTCTTTTGTTATTTTCACATCTTCCATTTTATACACTTTAATAGAATCCTCAATCTGTTTGATCCATTTTGTATTTCTGTTGTGCTTCTTGTTGTTTTCCCACAAATTTTTCCAGAATTTCAGAGCTTTCTATTTATCAGGCTTTTCATTTGTTGTTACTCCATCTCCACTTTCTAAGCTCTTATAAAACCGATGCTGATTTGCTCTGAACTGTGAGTTTTCCTTGAATTGAGTTACCCGGTTTTCATATCTTTTAATCTTTCCAGCAACAGCAACAACCTTCTGCTTCAGCTCTTCAATTACTATCGCAATCTCTTTATTCTCCAAATCATATCTTGCTCCCAGGTTGCTTTTGACCTGTTTGTTCTTTAGCTGACGCCTTAGGTTCTTCAAGTTGCTCAAGTCTCCATTAAATTTTTTGATCTTCAATTCCAACCAGATTTTCCATTTAGACTTCCTCTTCTTGCCTCTTTGGTTCTTTTGTATTTTCAAACCCAATTCTTTGGTGGTTATGAAGGCTGCTACATACATCAGCTGGTTTGTTTCAGCTAATGTAGTGGTTTGAATGGTTTGTACAGCCTCATTGACCTTTTTTAGTACCTTTTTCAATTCTTTCCGGTTCAGGTTTGGCAAATGTGTTCTTTCAGCATCTTCCATTTGGTGCTTTATTTTCTCAGCTAATTCAGCAATATCTGTTGGTGTTTGTTTTTCAGTGCTTCCTTGTTCTTTATCTTCATCCATTTCAGCATCCTCTTCTTCCCTTTCTTCCTCAGTTTGCTTTTGAGTCTGCAAATCATTCTTGATGCTACTCTTCTTTGTTGGTATACTCAGACAATTGGTTGCTTTCTCTTTGATTCCTATTAATTCTGCTGTAGTGAAAAATTTGTGGCTTAGAATTACACGTTGTTGGTCCATTAGCCTTTGTTTACTGATATCACAATCCGTGTGGTTCACCTTCCAAATCTGATACATTCATTTTTGAAATCCACATTTTGCTGGCTCAGACTGATAGTAAGCTTTCATAATAGAGGCGTTTCTTCCCTAGTCCAGATTTTTCACTTTTTCACTTTTTCTTCCAGTAGCTTGTCAGCTCCATTCTCTAGTTGCCTAGCAGAGGGAGCTGAGCCCTGTAGCTCATTTTGCGCAGAATGCCCAGGAGCCATAGCATCCAACGGAACCTTTGTTAATCCGGGTGACGATTCAGCCAGCATAAATTTCATTTTTTCGTATTCACCATATTTGAATGGGTTGTGGAGCAATTTTGTCTGGCCCTTCACCTGAGACCTGTCTGATATGGTTGTACCTGTTCAGCATATCTCTTAGGATCATCATCAATAACTATGCAATTGCATAGTATTTTCATTAGTACCTTCTCAATTATATGTTGTCTGGATTCAGATATTGCATTAAGCCAGGAGCAAGCTAAACTCAGTTGTTTAGTCCATCAGTTATTAAGGCTTAGTGTCTGCCAAGAAACCTAAAGAAATGAGAGAGTACACCCACCCGGTTGTAAGTCAGGAAAAAGCCAGGATTCTGGATTTAAACACAACCATGGTTAAATAACTCAAGATACACAAACACACACATATATACAGAGTAAGAAACAAATAAAAGTCCGAACTTTAATGTTTGGCTAGCCTTCTTCCCACTGCCACCAAATGTACAAACATACTCCCTTCAAAATATGCAACATACCTTGTTAGTTAGAGTTATATGCAAGATTGCCTAGTTTCTAAGCTTTCTGAAGATTCCTGAATGAGCATGTTAAAAAAATCCTAAAGTATAAACTGAATTTAGCTCACGATACCTCAACATGGATAGAATTAGTAATGTATGAAACTGAGTTTTGCTGGGAAATGAAGCATGCTTGCAGCATTACATTTCTTTTTGTTTGGGTTAATATTTACAGGATACAGTCTATGGCTATAACTGTGACTGTGATCCTGGTTGGAGTGGAATCAACTGTTCAAAAAACATTGGTGAGTGTTCCAGAAATCCATGTTATTATGGAGAAACTGCATTACTAGCGTGAATGGCTACTCTTGTGAATGTAAGATAGTTGGACTGGACTGCAGTCTCAAATATTCAGCAAAGTAAATGAATATGTCATTTTGATGCAGTATAATATTTCCCCACGGAAATTGTGAATGTTGCGGTCTTTGTTTTTAAAGTGTTGTCTTTGTCCAGTTTTCCCCTTTCCCTGTTCTATTGTGAGCCGCCCAGAGTCCTTCGGGAGTGGGCGGCATACAAGACAAATAAATACAATACAAATACAAATACAATAATGCTAATAGCAGGATGTAGAAGTCCTGTTCGTTGACAAGAGAGTTGTTGGTTCAACGAACAATTCCAAGGCTGGTATTCCCTACATAATTGTTTCTTAATCTTGGCATCTTTAAGATGTGTGGACTTCATTTGAACTATGTGGGGAATTCTGGGAGTTCAAATACTCACATCTTTTTGCCAAGGTTGAGAAACACTGCTTTAGATAATCAATTTCTTGTTAATGTGACTCATCACAGAAAGATTTAGGAAGAAAGATAATCTGAACAATAAGGCTCAGTATATAAGTTGAATAGCTATAGTATCTGAGAATGGCATTCAGAAAGATTTTCTTGAGAGGAATTACTGCAACTAATCCTGCTTAACTCATTATGTAAGAGCTATAACTCAGATATCCCAGGTCATAATGGACAAGGAATCTTGATATTTATATTTCCAGAAAAGTTGTGAATAGCTTTGCATAGGCTAACTCTTCTTTTTTTTAATTTCCCCTGAGTTGCAGATTGTGGAGGATCCCTTAATGACCCCTCAGGATCATTTAGTTACCCTAACAATTCAGGATATGTGCAATATGATCAACAGGTCAATTGTAATTGGGTTGTCAGGACCCGCTATAATAAGGTAAAGAGTGTTGAACCTGGAAACAATAGGACAATAACAAAATTGGGGGAAAGATTTTATATATAATTATTATGTACAACAATTATTATACTTTTTGTTATAGATTAACAAACTTTCTATTGTTTGGCTGAATGTAAGTTCACATGTATAAGTGTATTTTTCTCTGGTGGAACCAGTCTATTAGGGCAACCTGATCTATCCAATTATGGGACAGAGCATACTGTTTCCGTTTTCATATTTTCGCCCCAATTCAGGGGCCTCCACAGGCAGTCGCTTTCATGACAATCTATTTCTTTATTAAATTTATGTTTTATCAACAAAGAAATAAAGGAAATGTAAATAAAGGGGTGAAGGCAGAATATCAAATGTATATTCAAACTGTAGCTCTACAGCCATCCCATAAGGCATGGTTGGGTTCAGATGCAATCAGCAAAAAATGGATAATTTCCAGGATAGTTGGGAGAAGAGAAAAATCCAAATAAATTGTCTTGAGTGATGTAAATATTTCCTCCACATGTTGAATTTATAATTTACTGACAAAGAAATAAAGGGAGACTAGTATAGATCTATTTCAAGCTATTTATTTCTCATCAGCTAGTCCTACCCTTTCTGGGATTCAAACCTGAGCTGCTTGTATATTAGGTAGATGTATTAACCTCTAAGCCATGGGCTCCCCTTATTTGTTGGTTATACAAGGGGAGAGACTGTTTTTTCTTCAGTGGGACTGGTCTATCAGGGCAACCTGGTCTATCCAATTATGGAACAGAACATACTAAATCAAATGGTATCTAATCATCCTGCAGAATTGACTCTCTGTTGGGAAAAGAAAAAAAAAGAAACAATGAAATCATTTTCTACTCTTTCTTTCTAGATTCTACGCATCACTTTCTCATTCTTCCAGCTGGAAGAGAGTAGCAGTTGTATATTTGATTATCTCCAGATTCATGATGGGGATTCAACATCTGCAAATATGCTGGGGAAATACTGTGGACCACATAAACCAGAAGAGCTTTTTAGCAGTCACAATTCTTTGTATTTTTCATTTCATACTGATCATATGATTAGTGGGAAGGGATTTACAGTTCACTGGGAGTCTCAACAGCCTGGTAAGATCATATTTTTGTAAGGAGCAATATTTTGTTTCTTAAAAGTCAAGGATTTAAGCTCTGGCTGAATCCATATTCAGGTTGTACCCTAAGCCAGGAAACTGCAATTTCTATTGATTGAGGGTATGAAATTTTATGACGCTTGCTAGATGCTAACCCTCAACTAATGGTAGTTACAAAACTCCACTCTTGAGTTTTAATAGGATTAAAACGTATTATGACCTCTGAATTTGCACTCCTCTTGATGGGTGAAAAGGAGAAGGAATGCCATCCTAGACAATAAGTTATATACTCCAATCTTAACCCATGATTTTAGACCTCAGTAGTTTTATACAGCATGCTAAACCTCAAAGAAATGAACTATTATAGTCTGGCAGAAATAATAAATCGATTTAGTGCGCTTTTTAAATGTAAGGTAGACACTTAATGTAATGATTTCCCTTTTGTTGGGGTCTTTATAACTTTGATTGTTTCTCTCTTCTTGCAGATATTGTAATATCAGAATAGATAACATCCTCAGTAACATAGGTGGAATGGGAGCTATTTGAATATGATAGCTTGATTGAGATATGGTTTACTTAGAATTGCAAGCACAAAATACAGCTTGAATCACACATAGTTAATTCCTATTCAGTAAAATTTTTGATAAAAATATTTATACTATTTGAGTCCAGGTTATTTACAAATACAATAGCAGAGTTGAAAGGGACCTTGGAGGTTTTCTAGTCCAACCCCCTGCCTAGGCAGGAAACCCTATACCATTTCAGACAAATGGCTGTCCAACATTTATTAAAGACTTCCAATGTTGGGGCATTCACAACTTCTGGAGGCAAGCTGTTCCACTGATTAATTGTTCTAAGTGCAGGAAATTTCTTCTCAGTTCTAAGTTGCTTCTCTCCTTGATTCGTGCCTTGGAGAATAGCTTGACTCCCTCTTCTTTGTGGCAGCCTCTGAGATATTGGAACACTGCTATCTTGTCTCCCCTAGTCTTTCTTTTCATTAAACTAGACATACCGAGTTCTTGCAACCGTTCTTCATATGTTTTAGTCCCCAATCCCCTAATCATCTTTGTTGCTCTTCTCTGCACTCTTTCTAGAGTCTCCACATCTTTTCTACGTCGTGGCGACCAAAACTGAATGCAGTATTCCAAGTGTGGCCTTACCGAGGCATTCTAAAGTGATATTAACACTTCACGCGATCTTGATTCTATCCCTCTGTTTATGTAGCCTGGAACTGTATTGGCTTTTTTGGCAGCTGCTGCACACTGCTGGCTCATATTTAAATGGTTGTCCACTAGGACTCCAAGATCCCTCTCACAGTTACTTCTATTGAGCAAGGTACCACCTATACTGTACCTGTGCATTTCATTTTTTTTGGTTAAATGTAGAACCTTACTCTTTTTACCATTGAATTTCATTTTATTAGATAGTGCCCCATGTTCAAGTTTGTCAAGAAACTTCTATATTTTAAGCCTATCTTCTGGAATGTTGGCTATTCCTGCCAGCTTGGTGTCATCTGCAAATTTATTTATTCCCTCATCCAAATCATTGCTGAAGATGTTGAAGAGTAGTGGTCCTAAAACAGAGCCTTGGGATACTCCATTGCATACTTCCCTCCATATAGATGCAGTTCCCTTGAGACTACACATTGAGTGCGGTTGATCAGCCAGTTACGAATCCATCTGGTGGTGATGCTGTCTAACCCACATTTTTCTACTTTATCTATTAGTAGGTTACTTATCAAATGCCTTGCTGAAGTCCAAGTAAACTATATCGATGGCATTCTATTTGAGGGAGAGCCTTATTCCACTGGGAATGCCTTGTCCCACGTTTGCGGTGGGCCCCGTCAGCTCAATTGTTATGGCTGGGGGATTAAGGAAAAGGATATTCTCTGCTGTTGCACATATCCTCTGGAACATCTTTCCCTTCTTTGAGTGAGGTCAGCTCCATCCCACCTGACCTTCCAGAAGAACTTAAAAACCTACAATAGCTTTGTTGGATAACTTGGTGTTCCAATAGGGCAGCATCACAGTGGAGGTAATTGTTCTCCAATATGATGGTCTCTCCAGATATGTTGAATTATAACTTCCTGGTTTGATCACCTAAAAACTATACAGTATATTCTGTCATCTTTCTTTCCTTTCATCCAAATCTAATGAAGACAAGGTAGAAATGCTCAAGGCATTTTTTTCATGCATTTGAATTAAAATTCAGAAAGAAAAGTTTGTACTTCAAGCAGCTAACAAAATAAGATCACCAATGCCCAGTATTAAATATAATATGACTACCAGAAACCATAATAACAATCATAGCCTTAATGAATGGAAAGTTTGAAACAGCTTCCAGAACTTATGACCTATGATGAAAATATTCAAAAGGGAAGTAGTTAACTTTGTTAAATTTTCTCCTTTCCCTCCTCTACCTACCTCTTTCTCTTTAGAATGTGGAGGAGAACTGACCAGTACATATGGGACAATTAATTCACCCGGCTATCCTGGCAGCTACCCTCCCAATAGGGATTGTGATTGGATCCTTTCAACTAATCCTGGTCTTTTTATTACATTTGCGTTTGGCTTATTGAGTCTTGAACATCATGACAACTGTATCAAAGATTATCTTGAGGTAAAAATAATTTGAAAAATAAATGGATAGCAACAGCACTTTTTTTTAAAAAAAATCCATCACTTAAATAAGCTAAATAGAAAAGGTTGTATATTATAGGAAGGGTTCACACATAGCATTTAATCTTGGTTGCCATGTTCTAGCCAGTAAGTCATCCAGTAACATTCTAAGAAAATCTTAAACAAAAGTTACAAATCATATTATCAGCTTCAATACTGAAACCCTTGTATCATATATAAACCTAGCCATATACATTTCTTGAACACTATACCACTGATTTTCCAAATTACTGTATTGCACAGTCTACACAAATAGATTCTATAATTTTAGAAAGTAATATATCAATAGACTTAAATATGAATCTGTATTTTTTCATGATAGTTACATTAAAATATTTTCAGAGGTGCAGCTTCATGTCTAGAAAACTTTGCACAAAAATGGGCATTTAGATCTTGTTTACATTGCATAAGAAATCCAATATGTCATTATCCCATTTTTCTAATAAGCTACCAAAAGAAACCACCACAAATATATTATCTAGAGTTATTCTTAGATAAGATGAGATATCTATCCATATTGCAAACAATGAGAACACACTGAAGTTGTTTCAAGTACACCAACAAAAATATGTCAAATGAAACCTGTTTTATAATACAACATAGTTCATTCTAATCTGAATCATTTCTAACCCCAGGCATGAATCAAAAGAATCATATGAAGGATGAGAACATTTTAAAAAAACAATGTTAAGTGCTTATCTCCATTTATAAGAAAATAATTATTTTTCAAGCACTTCTTGAATCATATGCAGCATTGACCACATAAAGAAAACAAACCTCTTCTATTTAACCAGGTGCATCTTCTGAAGGGTTAATAATGTAAACTACTTTTTAAACAGCCAAACATCCACTGTTATTTTTAATGATGTTATCATGCAACGCTTAAGGATTGTTCGATTTAATAAATATCACTAGCTTTTTAGCTAGGGTTATTGTCAGGGGAAGCCAGAGAAATCTGAAGTCCACATCTGCAGCTCTAGAGTTTGAAGGTGATAGACATGGTCTTCTGTCTGAATATGATGGGAAAAAATAGGAAGAAGTATCCTTAGATCATGAACACCTCTAGAAAAATGGGTTGGAGTCATAATTCATGGGGAGTTTGGGGTGAATTTATGTGCACAATTGCATAATCCCTATTCAATTTTTCGGGAAGGGGGGATGCAGAAGTATGTGACTAAAGGTATAGCTACAGGTATATTCTGCCCTTTCAAAAATATTCTAGCCAGCAAACATAACCAATACAACTTTCTATTGTTCCCCCCTCCCCACAACATGTGGGGCTGAACCCAAAGTCTAAGTCCAGCCACCTTGAATTCCCTTCTGTTCTTAAGAGCCAAGGTGGCGCAGTGGTTAAATGCAGCACTGCAGGCTACTGCTAGATCAGCAGGTCAGCGGTTCAAATCTCACCGGCTCAGGATTGACTCAGCCTTCCATCCTTCCGAGGTGGGTAAAATGAGGACCCAGATTGTTGGGGGCAATATGCTGACTCTCTGTAAACCGCTTAGAGAGGCCTGAAAGGCCTATGAAGCGGTATATAAGTCTACTGCTATTGCTATTGCTATTGCTATAACTCCCTTGCATTTTCCTTAATAGTCACTTGGAAAGATTCTTGTAAAGAGCTAATGCTTGCAATAGATCTTTATACTTATTTGAACTGCCTGAATCTCCTGATTTCTCTGGCCTTTGACACTCTGGTTTCTAGTCTGGTGCCTTAACCACTAGACCAACTGGCTTATTATTTTTCTTGCAGTCAATGATATAAACAGTTGATCAGTTGAATAGAATCAAATAGAACAATAGGTATCTGGGTTGTTGAAATTAATTTATTACAGGCAATATGAAGTATTGTAGAAAATTAATAATTAATAGAAAAATAGACATAATAAGAGATAAAATAGATATGCTTTTGATGTTGGATACAGATGGTACATCTACATTTGACAAAGTATAACAAAGACATGACTACATGCTTTTGCTTAGATTCGAGATGGCCTTCTCTCACAAGATCCCCTCCTTGGGAAATATTGCAGTACTGGGTTACCACCTCCTCTTCAAACCACTGGTCCATATGCTCGGGTACATTTTCATTCTGATGGTTTTCATAACAATAGAGGATTCCATATCACATACATAACATCACCTGGTAAGTGTATTTGTTCCTATCAGCCATCTTCTGGTACCTTTCAAATATGTTAGCAATGGAAACCCTAAATTTAAAATTCTCATCCTGCATAACTAGAATGCAGCAAGCTGAAGCAAGACTATATCCTGTACTGGAGCAAAGCATATTCAGAGGTTCTACCACAAAACCGCAGATGACAAAATCGCGGTCGACGAAAGTGCGTATGTGACGTCATCACAGCGCGACAAAAAAGATCGAAAAAGATCGAAAAATGTAAAAATAAAGCTAAAACCTTCCCCTAACCCCCCCAAACCTAACCCTAAACCTAACCCTAAACCTAACCCTAAACCTAACCCTAAACCTAACCCTAAACCTAACCCTAAACCTAACCCTAAACCTAACCCTTAACGTAACGAAAAACCTAACGCTAACCCTTAACCTAATGCTAAACGTAACGCTAACGCTCTAACCCTAACCCTAACCCTTAACCTAACCCTAACCCTAACCCTTAACCTAACCCTTACCTTTATGTGAATCGGCTTGCTGTAATTTAATTTTTATTTCAATTTTTCAATCTTTTTCGTCGCGTTGTGATGACGTCACATATGCGATTTCGTCGACCGCGCTTTTGTGGAACGCGCTTTTTTTTTAAAAAATAATTAAATGTTTTTTAATTTTAGTTTGAAATGGGTACAGCATCTTTCTTAATATATCAATCAATTACAGATAAGTTTTGGTACATCTCCTCCACAGTCAACCAACATAACTCATATTAACTCAAGCATTATTATATATCCATTTTCATTTAACTGTAATTATTATTTAGGAGTATTGGTAGGAATAATAATCTTGAACAATACCTACCCACACCGATGGGAGTGGAGAGAAATAAAAAAAAAATAAAAAAAGAAAAAAGGACAAATAGAAAATAAAAATTAAGATAAAAGATAGTAGATAATACAAAATCTTTTTCGTCGCGTTGTGATGACGTCACATATGCGATTTCGTCGACCGCGCTTTTGTGGAACGCGCTTTTGATGGGTCACGATATTCAGATACTTACTGTTCACCAGCTGTAATTGGGATCAGCAACTCCACTGCTATACAATGTGGTTGTTAAGTGAAACAATACAGTTCAGGCAGCTGTTATTAAAAGGCTGACATTATTTGATTGCATTATTTGATTGTGACTTCTTGCTGGTTTCCCCATTGACTTTGCCTATGAGAAGCTGGCTATGAAAGTCATAAATGGCGACCATGTAAATGCATGCCCATTGCCAAATGCAATCACACGGTTGTGGAGTTGCTGGGATGGTCATAAGTATGAAAACTGATTATAAGTGTCCTTCTTCAGTGCCATTCTGAGTAACCTTTTTTAATTGTTCTTCTTCTTGTAGTGGATCCCAACTGTGGAGGAAACTATACTGATAGCAGTGGGGTCATCATGTCTCCCTACTGGCCCAATTCTTATCTGAACAACAGACAATGTGTTTATATCATTCGACAGCCACCCAATGAAAAAATCTACTTGAATTTCACACACCTAGAGCTGGAAAGACACCCTAACTACACTCGGAACTATATAGAGGTAATTATTAGTTCCTATTTTTAAAAAATGGTAAAGAACAAATTAGATTAATCTAAATCTGGGATTCTCTTTTCTATTTTTTTTTTTTCAGAAATGAAAGAAAGGGGGTCTTGGGCCAGTTAGCCTGGCCCAAGTGTCAAGAAGGGATTACGTATTTCTATTTCATTGTGTTCTTGATATCAATCAGCTTCCATAGAAAATGATATCAGGGGAAAAGTTTAAAGCAGAAAAACAATCCGTTTTAGCCTAAGAGGTGTGGCTAGGCGGTGTAGCTGATGATGTCAGAGTATTACCAGAAAGTATTGGGTTGATATTTTTGGCCAGTATATTGCAGGATTTGGAAACTGCTCAATTTAGGCTGCTTGAAGGATTTTAAGGAGTGAAATTGATGTCTTAAAATCATCTCTGTCATCTTTTAAATTATTTGAACAATCCAAACGCTCCAAAAAAACAGAAATGTTGTTGTTCATTCTGAGGAGCTACTATAAACTTGCAAACTATGGTTGTGATTCAGTGGAAAATTGTTAAATTAGATTAAATTAAATTATATATATATATGTAAGTATGTATGTATGTATGTATACATACATACAAGAGATTATCAATTTCATTAGGGTCCAACATCTACAAAGGACAAGAGATAGGTGAAATTAACCAGAATAAAACAAAAGTTCATGAGCAACAAAGATTATCTGTTCCACTCACTCTTTATTTTCCAGCTATGATGATACTCATCTTTTTATGTAATACTTTTTACTGTTCCTGATCTCTGTTGATTTGCACATTACACTTATTAATTAAATCTACACCTTATTTTTCCTCCAAGGAGTGCTTTGAATGGAAAACAGTAAGATTATAAACTTAGAATTGTTTGAAAACCAAGCTAAAGTCCAAATTAATCCAGTTTATAAAATAACCAGTCTAAACAAATAACAATGCATTTATATTCTAAGTCATTTTACAAAACAAAGGCTTTTCTTCCCAAAGAGCTATAGAATATGAGAACAACTATAAAAAAGCAGTTTCTTAATTTCTTTCAAATATTGTTAAGAAGAGAAAATAATCTCGCCTGAGTTACAGTCTATGTGGAAAAGTTTCATAAATCAAAATGTTAATCTAAATTTCATTATCATGAGATCTAGTTTTGTTTAAAGTAGAATGGAGTGGAGTGGAGTGGAGTGGAATGGAATAGAATAGAATAGAATAGAATAGAATAGAATAGAATAGAATAGAATAGAATAATAGGACAGGAGTGGAGTGGAATTGAATTGAATTCTTTATTGACCAAGTGTGACTGGACACATAAGGAATTTGTTTCCAATGCATAAGTTCACAGGGTACATATAAACAGGAAGTGATAGGTTATCACATCATACTTATAATCACTAATCATAAGTTAAAAACAATTGATAAATCCTAAGAAACCTATATAAAAAGATAGTAAGAAAAATGGGAAGATGAGAGTAAGACAGTGCTGTGGAATTAAATGTTCAGCAGAGTTAACCCTCCGGGGGAAAAACTATCTTTGTATCTAGTTGTTTGGCATGCAGGTGTCCTGAGGGGAAAAGTTGAAATTTACAATGTGATTCAGCTATTTTAAGATATTCTTTAAAAAGAAACACATGGAGAACACATGACAGTTTTCCTTCAGCTAATTGGAGAAAATTGTCATATGATATTGGTTGAGGTTATTTAAGGCCCAGGGCTTAAAGGGACCTAACTTTATTATTTGAAAGATGGATGAATATTTTTTTTATTCAAGACAGCAGAATTTAACAAAATGCAATAGCTATTCCTGCACAATTCTGTGTGTTGGGAGTTCAATGAAAAAATATAAGTAAATATGTTATTATAGGATGTTATGTAAAGGAAACACAGTCCTTGACATAACCATTCCTTGTAAGTAGTGACCATTTGAAGCTACAAGGCACTGAAAAAAGTGACTTATGACCATTTTTCACACTTAGCACCATTGCCACATTCCCATGGTCATGTGATCAAAATTTGGACACTTGACGACTGGTATATATCTATGATGGCTGCACAGTAATGTGATCATATTTTGCAACTTATGACAAGCAAAGTCAATGAGGAATCCAGATTCATTTAACAACTGTGCTACTAACTTAACTGCAGTGATTCACTTAACATCTGTGGCAAGGAAGGTCATAAAATGGTGCAAAACTCACACGACACTGTCTTGCTTAGCGACAGAAATTTTGAGCTCCATTGTGGTTGTAAGTCAAGGACTACCTGCATGACTATTTTTCCCTTGGGTTCCTCAAAAGATCCTGGGGTCAGACCTTTAGAGAAAAGTGCTTGAATTTTATTGGAACTAACACAAGTCTAGATTTGGTTTAGGTTATTTGCATCCCAATGCTTAAACCCATTTGGAGATTAGTTGGCCCTTGACTGATCTCAATGCATCTGTTTCTGTGATTAGATTAGTTTTAGTTCAGATTCTATTTCAGATTATTTGAAACAGTGATAAATGCTGCTCTTTCTGATTCTTCAGAACTTGAGAACATCTGTTTCTCCAAAGATCTCTTGCCTACTTCCTGGTTCAGCTCATATGTTATTCCTTGTTTTCTCCCTGAATATTTCAATGCTTTTACTTGCATTTGGCAAAGCACCATACAAATGTACACAAATACACGACACAAAGTTCTAGTAATATTTTTTTAATTTCTTTTATATATGGAGTTGGGGTAAGGGGATTTTGTTACTTCACAACTCTCAGAGGCTCTAAAGGTGTGTCACAGATTGTGTGATCTTTTTTGTACTTTCTTCTTTGTATTTCTTTGTGCTTTCTTCTGTGCATTTGAGTCAGCAAATTGGTTCCATATGGCTTTTTGACTTGAAGCACTAATGAGAAGGAAATGTCCTTAGATGTCTTTATTTAAACTTGCCTTGTGAGAAATGTTGCAAAAGATTTATGTGAGCTAATATAAATGGAGGAAATATCTAGAATGTGTAGATATATTTCTTCTTTCCTTCTGTCATAAGCAGAATTTATTTCTAAAATCACACATAAAATCTGATATAAAATGAAAACAGGAACATTTATTTATTTAGATTCATAATTTTCTTCTCTAGTTGTTAGAAAAAATCATAGTAACATGCCCTAAGCCAGATGAAACAAAGCAAAAACCATTTTAATTAAGAACAATAGGTTTAATTTAGCAAGGCATTTCCTTTGTATTCTGGGAATTAATTCCAGAGATCATAGGTTTGCCTGGTTGAATCTGTGTCTCTTCTGCAGGTCCCTTTCACCCCCTCTGAACCTCCGCACATCCATTGGTTGAGGACTATGAGTATGGAAAGCTACACAAACACTTAGCAACTCAATATTTTTTGCTATTTGGCAGCATAGAATCTTGGATGGGGAAAATGGGAAATAGCTCCTTTCTTGCAAGGATCCAGAAAGACTATTTGCCAGATCCTTGGGTTTTTAAATGTGGTGACTGTAGGATACCTGTGAGAAGAATTACCAAGGCCACACATCTTGAAAAATCATAAAGTTCTCATAGGTCCTCAGTGCAATATTTGCTTGCTCAGAAGTGCTAAATATCTAGGATCAAATATGCAGCTGGCTATTTTAGCATGAGTAGGAGATATTTTGACCTTTGAAACAATAACAGTGCCTGGAATTTCTGGTCATTATACTCTAAAACTCCAGATAATATATTTATCTGTACTCTAATGTAAACTCATATCAGAGAATAACTATTGGAAAAGACTGATAATTTCTTAGTAATAATAGCAGTGGGTGCATTATAGTATAGTTATCAACTTACAACAGTTCATTTAGTGATCATTCAAAGTTACAACAGCACTAAAAAAAGTGACATGACCATTTTTCACACGTTGATCACATGAATTATATTTGGTTGCTTGACAACTGAGTCACGTTTATAATGGTTGCAGTGTCCTAGGATCATGTGATCTCCTTTTGCAACCTTCTGACAAGCAAAGCCAATGGAGAAGCCAAATTCATTTAACAGCCATGTTACTAATTTAACAAACTACAGGAATTCACTTAACAAACATGGCAAGAAAACTGCTAAAATGGAGCAAAATTCACTTTTAAAATGTCTCACTTAACATTTAATAAATTCTCAATTATAATCATAAGTTGAGGACTACCCATACTTTTTATTAAATACACATCCAACCGCATCAGTGTTCCTCCCAAAGCACAAATTATTGATTAGATATTATTTGTACATGCTTCTAGATGTGGTACTTATCAGCTGTGTTAAGTTGTTCTATTTGCCAATGTGTCAGCGTTCCAAATATATCAAAGTTCCAATTTAATAAGAGAGACATGTTGGTACAACCGGGTGGAAAACCAGCTTCCACCCAGTTATTCAATTGGAACTTTGAGGAAAGCCATGCTGTGGACTCTGATTTAATTCTGGATGATATTTGGAACGCTAACACAATGCTTTTGTCATGAATGCAAATGATGTAACTTGTTCCAGAAAGTGGTGATAAATCATGTAAATTGCAGTTCAGTGAAATAAGGGAACCAAATAGAAGTGTCTGCTGTAGATTAAAAAAAAGTCAGGATGGTGGTCACAATTATGCAATTAATTTTATGAACATCCCAGGTGTTTTGATCATATAGTTGTAGCCACCATTTTATATTTATTTACTTCCTATCTCCCTGCAGTTATTCCTGCAGATGTTCAGGAATGTGACAATCCATTCTTTTAACTGATAATGTATGGTACTATTCTAAAAGTTTTGAATTTAAATTAAGTAGCTCATATGTCATATAATAGTGTATTTCCTGTAGAAAACAAGTTGGAGACTTTAAAGTGAGCTTAAAATGGCATCTGCATATTTACTGTTCTCAAGCTGCATATATTGCCTTCTCCCAGATATTCAAGAAATTGTATACAGTAAAGCTTTGTAAATTTTGTTGTTATCTCCACTAAGTTTCCCCAAACAAGTGAAATGCAAAAGAGGTGTAAACATTTTTGAAAGAACAAAGTTTTGAAACGCCAGCATGGAAAATATGGAGCAATGGCAAACTAAGCATTCCAATAATTTTCATGTTATTGGCATGTTCTAGCATTTCTTTACTACCCTTACTACTTCTCCTAATATTTAATTGAGACAGTTGTTTGGAATATATGTCAAATTGATGAGATAATTGAGATGATTAGGCTTTTTTGTGTGTGTGAATTAGATCCGAGATGGTGACACTGAGAGGGCTCCCTTAATCAACAAGTTCTATGGAAGTATGCTCCCTTCTGCAATCACTTCCACACAAAGTAGCCTCTGGATCAAATTCAAATCTGATATTTCAGTTAATACTTCTAACTTCAGGGCCACTTATGAAGTTGGTAAGTGAAACAACCAACTTAAGGTAATGTAGCAACTTTTATAAACTTCTAGCATGTCCACTAACTTCATGGTCAAACTGTGTTGTAAATTCTGTAGACTATTTTAAATAGTGGACCAAAAATGGGAACCTGATTCTAGAGAAGGGGTAACATAATTTTCTTTCAAACTCACCCATTGCTGTCCTGAAGCAGTTTAGTCTTATAATAGGTTTTACTGTTCAGAGTAGCAGATATTTTAGAAGACGGTAATCTTGCGACATTTCAGTCAGATTTTTCTAAGGATCCGAGCGCAGTACTTTTTTTCATGAATCCCACTTTCCTCATTTTTACGTAGGAGATAGGTAGGAGATAAGGAAAGGCTGCAAGAGTGTCCTTCAAACAATTCAGCAGAAAACTCGTAGATAGATTGTTCTGATTAAGTTTCAAATTCCTCCTTATAAATATAACTGCTCCAACTTTGATATTGTTTAAAAAGTAAAGACTTTTTTTAAAAAAACCAGCCAGTCAGGCATTTCATAGATTAATCTGGCTCCGTGTCCATGTCAGTCAGCATTCTTCAAATAGTTTGTCAATATTCATTACTAAACTAATTCTCCATTTCTCTTGGCAGCTTGTGGGGGACCCTTGTTTGGTGAAGGGGTCATCAGATCTCCCTACTTTAACAGACCATTGCCAAAGGGTCGTATCTGTGAATGGATCATCTCTGTACCTGAAGACAATATTGTGGTTCTTAAGTTCACTAATTTTCATATCTATAATGACACTACTTGCAATTCAGATTATGTGGAGGTAATTTTTATTAATGGAAATTATTTTGAAAACCAAACATTGCACATGCCATATATATGATCAGCTATGTCCCTTTGAAAAATTACTCACATTTAATTTATACACGATAAGAATCCAAAATCTCTAACGTTACCAATGAAATATAATATTTATCATGACAAAAGGGAAAACATAAACTTTGTTTTAATGAAATTTAAAGGTTTTTTTAATCAAGGTTAGATTGATCCTATAATTCTAATATATTTGTTTGCACTGAAATTGGTGGGATTCATGCTTTGAGAATATCGACTTAGGACTGCAAGGCAATGCAGGTTTATATATTATTGTAATCTGTATTGAACAGACAATCTAATAAGCAATTACAAGAATTGTTTTTGGTAACTATTAACTTTAGACAATGGTGTCCTAGTTGATGAGGTAGAATTATTTAAATACTTCATAATAATAAAGCAAGAGGTTTGGGAATTTGCACTTCTCAAAATAATATGTAGAATAAAACATCTATGTTGTTTTTACAAAGTAAAATACAGCTATACATAGAAACAAAAGAACAAGCAAGTTTCAGATAAGGCAGAGGAACATGGGATCAGACAGATAATCTCAGATGGATAATAGAGAGAGCAAGCAGAGATATGAAGCAATAAAACAATAAACTTTTGCTTTATTGATTCAGTAAGGCCTTTTCCTACATGATGCCAGAATATGGACTATATAAAGGCTAATAACATTTTAAGTGTGCCAGAATATAAGATTATTCTTCTGGTGAATCTTTAAAATGAATCAGAATTGAAAGAAACAGAATGCTTCAGAATAGAAATCAGGATTAAGGGGAAGAGAAGATGTGGAAGATGTGAGGCTGAGCCTTAGGGAGGGGTCAAATGTGTCATAAATCACGAGTTCCTGTGTCCTGTGAGACATCATATATCTTGCTAATTTCCATTAGTTGGTCAGATTCTTTTAGAGAAATGAAGGCTTGTAATAAATCTTTATACTTATTTGAACTGCCAGAATCTGATTTCACTGGGACTTGACAGAAGTGAGGACAGGAGATTGAAACATTCTCATTTGGAGATATGCAGATTGACAATGCTTGGTTACACTGAAGTATGGGGAATTATTAGAAGTATTTTGAAAGTGGAAAATAAAAAGCAAAGAACAAATTTAGTATTAAATACTCAGAAGATAATGATAATAGCTACCCACATGATTAGTGAACTTAACACTTGATAATGGAACTGTAGATATGGTATCTGTTGTATTAGGCTCAAAAACAGTTAACAAAAGTAAGGTAAGCTAAAGAAAGTAAGGTAAGATTCATTTTAGAGTGGAACACAATGATAAACATAGGCAGACTCATGAAAAATAAGGATATTTCTATGATACAAAGTTGAAAAAAATTAAAGTTGTACATTGTACAAGTGAGAGAAATAAAATATTTACCCATACATTTTGTATCTGGGCACAGTTACTAAAAATATTAAGGACTGCAAAAGGAGGTATCATTTGATCTTGGTTCCATTAGATTGACTTGCAGAATCTCATTTATTTTTGGCATGTGATGTCTAATGCTTGGCAAGACCAAAGTTGATAAAAGAAGGCAAACACAAAATGGAGGGATGAAATTAAAGATAAAATTATCATTGGGAGAACTACAGGTTACTACTGAACTGGATTGAGATAATTAGCATTGTCCATGCTGAAATAACCAAAGTTGACCCATGCTCAATGACATTAATTGACATTAGAATATTTCTATTAGAAGAAAATTATTTATGATAGTTGCGAATATCTGTAGGATACAGATCCAATCCTACTGTATTGGATCCTACATCCAATATAGGATAACTATATTGGATGTAGGATAAGAGTGGAGGTTCGTCTTTCAAACTTGTGGGTTGATTTCTAAACATTTCATTACCAGGCTAGATAATATCTTCAGCAGAATTTAAGAGATGGAAGAAGTTACCTAGCCTAATAACGAAACATTCAGAAACCAACCCATAAGCTTGGAGAATGAACTTCCACCCTCCAGAAAATGATTGCACAAATAGTTCCACTAAGTCAATTTTATCAAAATGCATATACGGTCAGTCCCTATTCTGTATCAGAAAACATTCTCATATAGAAAGATGAACAAAAATGATATTAATTTTTAAAGCCTTAAAAATGTCTTTAAAAAGTGATAGAGAAGTTGTGTAAAAGCAATCTAAAATAGGAGACAATTTTCCTTCCCTATCCAAAGTCTTGACAGGAATGACTCCCTGTAATATATGTGTTTAGTTCTGTGGTGTTTTCATGGAATTGAACTTTTTTCTTTTGCAGATTAGAAATGGTGGCAATGCAAGCTCTCCTTCTTTGGGAAGATACTGTGGGAACACTATACCACCTGTGGTTCATTCAAGACATAACTTTCTTTATATAAAATTCAGAGCTTCATCTACTACAAACCTTGGCTTCATGGCTGAATACAAACCTTTTGATATAGGTAAATTCTGATCGTTCAGCAACTCTCCCTTTCTCTTTAATTTATTCCTCAATTATTAAGCAAAATGTAATAAAGCATATAAATTAAATGTACCTAGATTTAATGCTTGGTGAGAGAATTTGAAGTAGATTTCACATTCTTCACCTTGGGCCATGCCATCTGGGTCTTTTAATTCATCAACCCACATGAGGCAACTTTATAAGACTATACATTAATATGTATTAATTACAGCTCTTATGTAATGCTTTGCAGGTCTAGTTACCAGTAACTCCCACTGAGTTTAGAGAGCGATAAGGATAATTGAAGATTAGGAAAGATAAAATTACTGTAATCAACCAAGATCTCTGAAATGATTTTATAGTTCCATTGTTACATTCTTTCTGATTGATATGATGAGAATTTTATTTTCATATGCTATAGCATGTGGAGGTTTTAAAGTTTTCTTTACAACTATGTAAAACAATTTTGAGCATATAACTGAAGCTATTTTTTTTTTCAAAGCAGTCTCCCATTTTAAAATTGATTTTTGGGAAATTTCATATTTAAAAACCAACATATTTTCAAACATAATTTGTTTGAAACAAAATGTTTCATGAAAGCCTAATTGCCTTGAATCATATCATGAAAATTTCTTATTTAAATTTCTCCTTTTCTAGTTTAGCTAAAAGGTAGATAAGACTAGAGTGGAAATAAGAAATCTGGTTGATTCATTATCCAGTCATCTGGTTGATTAATCACAGTTTGTCAAATAAGTCAATATAGCACTAAGCCATAAACTATATTTCACAAATCAAGTGACTGGGTCCATATAATGTATTAAGCCAAACCAACTAAATTATATTACAACTTAGTGAAAGACTGAAATCTATTCAATATTTCACAAAAATGAATTCCATGAATCCCAGACTAAGTAGAAAGAGAACCTGAGATCTGTACCCTCTTAGGAATTACAGATGATTCCTCGGTGCCTTCTTTTTCTGTCTCTCCTTGGTGCCATATCTTTTTAGATTGTTAGCCTGATTGCAGGCTTCTCTGTTTTTATTGAAGTATATTCTCCATTGAGAATCTTTCCAGATGAAATGCAGGGGACAAGTAGTCCTCAACCTACAATCACAATTGGGACCTGTCTCACTAAGTGATATGTTCATGAAGTGAGTGCTATCTAATTTTACAGTAATTAACTGTTGTAACTACATAAAATTACATAAAATCATGGTTGTTAAATGAATCTGGATTTTCTACCATCTGCCCCACTTTTTTATTATTACTTTTAAAAACAGCATGTTGTCCATAGTGACGTTGTTTGAGTTGGGAGGTCTTAGATATCTTGAAAATAAATAAATAAAAATAAAATATATGATCTTAGTTTAATCTCATTCTGAGAAGATACAATTTTGTCTGTTTATTATTAACTGTTCTTTTGTTCTTTCTATTGAATAGAATGTTGGAAAAGAGTTATGTAAATGACATCAACGTTCTACCCATCAGTAGGATAATTTGTTTTAAAAGTGGATAGATTGGGACTAAAATTTCTTTGCGGAGAAACTAGCAAAATAAAAAAAAAGATGGAGTTTGGAAACAGGCTGTATTAATCTGGGAGCTATGAAGAAAAAACAATTGAAAGGAAAATAATCTCCCATCAATTCATCCTTGTGGGAAAAAGTTGGGCAATGATTGGAAAGTTGTCAGCTTCTCCATACTTACCCTCTTCCCTTTTCCATTCTGGTCACATGATCCAGAAGACAAGGATTTTAAAGGGATGAATTCAGGAAACTATGTACGCAACCCAGTGCTGGGTTCAATTTTTTTTTACTACCAGTTCTGCAGATGTGGCTTGGTGGGTGTATCTTGGTGGGTGTGGCAGGGGAAGGATACTGTAAAATCTCCACTCCCACCCCACTCCAAGGGAACGATACTGCAAAATCCTCATTTCCTCCCAATCAGCTGGCACTCAGGAGACAGAGAATAGAGGGGGACAGGGCAGTCATAGGTATTTACTGGTTCTCCGAACTATTCAAAATTTCCGTACCGGTTCTCCAGAACTGGTCAGAACCTGCTGAATACCACCTCTTATGCAACCTTTCTCTCATTTTATAGAATGTGTTGGTATGAGTATGAGGTTTTTGAGGATTTATCAGGTTTTATCCCATTCACTCCAGATTTTTATATTTCTTTCCTTTTTGAGAAGGAAAGCAGTGCTGAAGATCAATTCAACCATTTAGATTTTTTTTTAAGAATTGCTTTGATTTGTAGCTGTTGTAGATTATTTGTACCTGGAGCAAAACCAAACTTGATTGCACCCAATTAACTAAATGATTTTCAACTAGACTAGACAAAAGTTATTGGTATAGCACTCTGGGCAAAGCAGTTATGGCTGAATGCCATAGCATGAATAGTTGCTTATATAACTTTCAGAGGTGTATTCTACATTTCCTTTCTCTGAGCATAGTCAAGATCCAATGAGTCTTTGGGGAAATAACAGGTTCCTCTGAACTGATAGCTCTGGAATAATATTTATTGAAAAATCTGGCAGTTATGAATGAGTTAGGAAATGAAAGCATACCAAAGAAGATGAGTAACTAAAACAAAACATGAACAGAATAAAAACTCATCTAGAAATCCATTTTTACTAAAGTTTCTATACCAAACAAAATCAGATGTCAACTTTTATTAAAATAAATATTTCTTTAGTACTTCAACTTGGAAAAAGCTTCCATCCTTACTTTAAAATAATATGTAGTCTGAACCTGTGTGCTTTAAGGCTACGTAACTTGGTTTCATTGGTGTGGTCCATGCTATGGCCTTTGCAACAGAAGAATACTGCATGCAATGCGGTAAATCAGAAGTGGAGAACTGTTGGCTTTCTAAATATTGCTGAAGTACAGCATCCCTCTCTTTTCACTCACTGGGGCTGATGAATATATTCTCTAGTATTTCTAAAAGGCCAGTAGTTCCTTACTCAGATTAAGAACAGTTCTTTTTGTTGGAATGGTTTAGCAGTCATTCTCATCTTTTTGTTGTTTTTTTTGGTCTGCCCACCCATTTGCTCATATCCTGCTTTTTCTGTTAGTATCCTAGGGGAAATGCTGGGAAAATGTCATCTTCTTTTTCCTTTTTTGCCTTGTCTCTGCAGCTGTTTCTGTCTAGAGATGAATTTTATTCAAAATAAAGTTGAACTCATAGATTACAGTGGCTTACTGCTACTGCCAACTGCCAGTCAGGCTATACAAATGACTCTTATACTTATGCTGGTTTAATCTTGTTGCTTCTTTCTCTTATCCTTTCTATGTATTAAAAGGTTATTGGCATGGTACTTAATAACTCTGAAGTATATTTATGTAATTGCCATCCTTGGTGTGAAAAGGTTTGCCTTCTTCAGTTATCACAAATCCAGTTAGCTATCATTAAATTAGTTATAGCAGAGCAGAATCTGATCTGGATCACTGATCCTCTATTCTTAATTGCTACATTTGAAGATTTTGTTCAAAGTGATGACAATTCTGTAGATCTCTATTTATATCATTACTAAATATTTCTGCTGGACTAAAAAGAATCAAGGGTTGCTAATGTGTGTTGATCCAACCAATTTATTCTTTGTCCCTGGTAAACCAATATTCTGAAATATTAGAAACATAGGATTCTAAGAAATCCTGTAAGTCTTTTAGTCCAATCCCCTACCTAGATCAGGAATCCTCAGAGCATCCTAGACAAATGGTTACCCAACTTTGTTTATAAAAATTACCAGTAATGCAAGCACCTATGGATCCAGAAAATATCCTTTTTAAATCCTCTGCATACTGGACTCAGTATTCTAGGTGCAGTTCTACATCATAGAACAGAATCATCAATCAGTTTTGTGATATCAACACCATTTAATGCTGGACTAACACTTTTTACAATCATAGCACAATTGCTCTCTCATGCTATGGTTTACCAGGTCACTCCAATCCTACACATACATATACAGCAATTTTAACTAAGTTTGATAAACCAAGTGCTTAGCCTTTAATAGTTATGAAATTATAAATTCTTAGTTTTTTTAATTTCTGGTGTGCCTTACAATAATCCTTGCTAGCAATAGTTCAGTCAAATCAAACTTGGCATTAGTTTAGTATTAGCTAAGTAATAAGTTCTTGTATTTTATTTGCTCTTTTTAAATAGCAAGCACAATTCTGACAGCCAGGATTGAAAAACTGTCATTTGGAGTAAATCTTTCCAAGATGGTGTATTTTTTAGTTGTCTTTTGCAACTAATTAAGAATCTACTTATCATAGAGAAATCCATTTCATTCCTTCTTATTTCATCTTTCAGGCAATTTGGGATATAAGTTTACATTTCAGAGATTCTAATGAATAATCTTAAAATAGAGGGCGAAGAAGGCATTATGTGCTTTAGAGCAGCGATCCCCAATCTGAGAATAATATCCACTTATACCTGTGATAGTGAACCTATGGCACGCTGAGCCCTCTCTGCAGGCATACAAGCCATTGCTATATCTCAGTTCCACCATGTATGCGTGCGTGCCTCCCACCAGCCAGCTGATTTTTGGGTCTCTGCTGTGCATGAGTGGGAAGCAGGGCATAGGCAGGAGACATGCACACATGCGGGAGGGGGGGTGGTTGAACACAAATGCATGGGGTGGAGGGAATGCAGAGTGTGTACAGTGCGTATCCCCCCCCAGGCCAGTTTTTGGTCCCATGAAGCTTCAGGGAGGCCTGCTAGGCTCAGGAGTGTGTGGAGTTTCATGCACACATGTGCCGGTGGGCAGGACACACGGGGGTTGTTGAGTGTACATTGCATTATGGGTGTAGGCACATGCCCCACGTGCTATTGCACATGAGCACACACTTTCAGCATGTGATGACAAAAAGGTTAGCCATCACTGACCTAGATGGTACCTAGATCATAAACAGCTGAAAGCAGATCTTTTTTGTCCAATGAAGGAACATAAACTCAGGGTAGGAAATTTTATTTAAGGTTTCTTCAATGAATGTACAATATTTGAAAATGAATGCCATAGCCTCTACAAAATCTTCCCTGTTGTTTGCAGTCCTCTTCCCTGAATTGGTCAAATTAAATTAGTTAATTATGTTGCCTTGTGTCAACAATGGCAATTCCAAGTGTCAATGCTTCCATTGCCTTCAGAAAAATAATATGTTGAGGATGCAAGAAAATTTGGAGGAACTTACAAACTGCTAATTCTCCAAGGAGCTATCCATATCCCTTGAGTATGGGAGATCAGATTATAAAAAATCATCAATGATGCAAGAATCTTTATTTGGCATTTAGAATAAAGAATGTTTCACTTTTGGAAACAGATGGAAGGAAATATGTCTGCCTCATTTTTCCTAGCTTTGTTGTGCAAGCATAGATCAGCAAGAGGCAGCCAAATAATGTTTTACTCTTCTGTTGTCTCTTTTTACAGTTTATCATCCAATAGTGTCATTATTCTTTCTACTGTAGAGCTAATCTGATTATTTGGACCGAAAGCCAGCTAGATCTTTTCATTTTTGTATATTGAAAAAACTTTGTGCATATATTATTCTGTACAATCATTCTTTTCTTTCAATATGTAATTCACATGTTGAAAATTAACACAATAGAAGTTTTTCTATGATTTTGTTAACATAGTAAAATGTCTATGGGACTTCGGCAGAAGTGGGTTGGTCCTGCTTTGACCCAAATTGAGTGAATCAGTAATGGCCGTGGCGGGAGGCTCTGCCCAGATGCTTCTGTGCATGCACAGAAGCGTCACATGCGAGAGCAAGTGAACCAATAGTAAAAAAAATGGAAACCCACCACTGGACTTTACCCCCAACAAAAAGTGCAAAATAAAACTTGTTTTTAATTCACATTAGGAGCATTCAATCCAATAGCTGAATGTGGCATTACCAAAATATTTTCCTTCCTTCATTGAGAAGCATGGGGAACAGAGGACTTACTGTAATGGTTTTGGATAGAACTCCAAGCAAGAAAGCTAGCCAAGCAGGATGTTCATATTTAATATTTTTAGTCATTTGTATTTAATCTCTTGTAGCCATTGTGCAATACTGAGCAAAATGCATGGCCCAGCCCACTTTCCATTGCTTCGTAGATTTTTAAATCTTTTCTTGACTTCTGTGGAAGTCTCAAATATTTTGATCAGAAGTCAGCTGATTTCTTTTGGGAAAGTAGAATTCTATGCTCACATAACTATATTCATATGTTATTATGAACGGATTATAGGAGACTAGGAGAACAGGGTATTTCCAAATATAACATTTATAGCATTTTCAAGGTATCTTCATACAAAGCCCTTCATATTAACTAGTGGATATAGCACTTTTTCCCTACAAATTATTTAAAATAACTGAGTTTTTTTTCATAAGTGTGATTATTCTTCACAGCTGAACACAATTCTGAGGACAGCTGTAGCTGCTTTAAAGAATGAGAATAAGGTGTTAATTCCTTTTTGGGTAAATAAAAAACTATCTTTTCAAAGTAATATCTAAAGCATTATATTACCCCAAAATGTATCTTTTTTTTATAAGTCTCTCCATTTTTTATCACCTCTTTCTTTTTCTTCATGTAGGAAGAAGCAAAGTTTTTTTTATCAACAGAACAATCTATCTGGAAGCATCCTAAATTTTTAACACATTAAAATTAGAACTGTTTGACTTGGGCAACTTAACTGAAATTATTTTTTATACAATATACATTAGTTTTTTAAAATAGCAGAATCAGAAATTAAACACTGGCAAGAGGATTTTAATTTGGTGTTGGAATTTGATGGGATAAGCAACTCTCATACGATCACTTGTTTTTTTTAAAAAAAATGTGCTAAGGAATGCCTTGAATTGTCAGGAAAGTCATATGAGTAAAAAGAGTCTTCCACTTGGATTATGATAAAGTTTTTTTATCAGATTTGTCATCTTCCAAGTTTTGGTATGTCCTTTCAAACAAAGTAGAAAATGAATTCTAAAAAAATCTGATTGAAAGTAGAAACCAGGTTTATTTTTGCCTCCTTCAGATTTGTTTAATTAGGGTAGGGTAGGGTAAGGTAGGGTAGGGTAGAGTAGAGTAAAGTAGGGTAGGGTAAAGTAGAGTAGAGTAGAGTAGAGTAGAGTAGAGTAGAGTAGAGTAGAGTAGAGTAGAGTAGAGTAGA